GTGGTAGTGGTAGTAGTAGTAGGAGGAGGAGTAGTAGTAGTACTTGTTGCTGTTGTTGCTGTAGCGGTAGCAGCAGTAGGAATAGTAGCGGCAGCGGCAGCAGTAGCAGGAGGAATAGCAACTGGACCCGACCTTGGCCTTCCAGCCTCAAAGCCTCATGCAGGTACTGCCTCTACTTCTCGGTGGCTCGCAAGTCCATGCGTGCTTTGCAACTTGGGTCGAAAAATGTCGCCATGTGTGGCTCTCCGGGTGTTCTGTTCAGCATGGATTAAGAAGAAGTTAAGGTTTTCGAAAGTTTCTATATCATTCGTATCCCTTTCGTGGTATCTTGAATTAAGCTCCTTCAAGAAGAACCCGGTTTTCAGTTCATCAATGGCCGTCGGCACCAGCTGCAGAGGCACTGAGTAAGTCAACCCCTAAAAGCCGTATATGCATCCTAAACGAAAAAACTTTCAGAGCGGGCTTTCGACAACTATAGTATACTATACCATACCACACTATACTGTACCGTATGATTTTATCATGTTATACGTACTACCAGAGCAAGGAACCCCAACAAATTCATCGAGGCATTGCATTTGGCTTGGCGGACTCGGTCAAATTGACCGCGCAGCTTCTCAGCTGCCTCCAAAAATTTGCTGAAGTGTTGGGTTTCAGGGTTTAGGGTTAGGGCTTCTCGGATCGTCCCAATCCTTCCCAGGTTATCTACAGCAGCGGCGCCCTGCAGTGCGGCTGGTCGCAGCTCCACACAGATAGTGTCAGCTAGCAACCTATATTTTTGTCTTGCAGGCTGGAGTTTTTAAGCCCGGCCTATGCAAGACCCGCTGGCGAACTTAAGTTCTCTCGGGCTCCGGCCAGGAAGTTCCGGACATGAGTCGAAGCTGCGCCTCTTCCTTTACCTCCTTAAGCATACAAGCACCTATAGCTTATAAAGGACCATGATGCCGCAAGATCTCCGCCAAACGAGCCCAATCTGTGTACTGCCCACGAGAAGGATGTAGGTTGAAGGTGTATCCCGAAATCGAACCCCGAACCCTAAACCCGAACCCCCTCGCCTATGAGCATAGTTAAAAACGCCCTGGCCACTGACGCGCCAGGAGCGCATAAACACTCAGCAAAAGTCCCAACCCCTAAACTGGTGTACACGCGAAGGCAGAGCCTCCACTACATTGCTTTTTTTCTGGGCATTCTCTGGGCTGCGCTCTGGCCGGCCTGGACCATGAGACTGGGCTGAGGTAAGAACATGAGTTCTGAGTAATGGGCACAATAAAAGCCAATAGTGAGTATCCCTTAATAGTCTTTGGGTTTACTTTAATAGTCGGTTTCAAAATCCGATAGAAAACCGAGGCACCATATGAGAGGGGGATAGAACCGAGGAGACTCAAGGACGAATGGTGACTTTACAAGGACTTCGATCTTCAAGGGTTCCTCTATTCTTCTTTGTTTATGTGGAGGTTCAGAGTACCGCGGCTGATGCAAGCGAAGGTTTAGGGCTCTAGGGGGAAGCAGTCTAAGGGTGCTTGCACTTCTGTCCAGTCAGTTCTCCACTACCCGACCTTTAACTTTAATCTTCGTGGGTTGCTATATCATAGCTACACCAAAATCGAACGCTAGTAACAACGTTTAACTGCTCATCTTCCGAGGTATTGAGGAAGTATCTGAGTGATGGTCCGCAGCCCAAATCAAAGACAGGGACCAGACTTGTGAAACCCAAGGCCCTAAGACCTACGACGTTGTCGGAATGTAAAAATGTCCTGAGCCACGAGTTTTGCAGAGCAGACTCAAGATGTGGGAAGCGAATTGCCTCAAAGGCGATGTTACGCGATGTTGCTGGAAGATGCAGGCTCACCTTGACTTCCCTCAACCGGTGCGATAGTCACAACATCAACCCAGCGACAGTCTTGTAACTAGCAACACCACTGGCCATAGCCATCATAATCCTGTAGCATCACTGGAGTTCCTGGACTGCAGACTGCAGACGCGGAATGAAGGCAAAGGAATGTCAAGCGTTGCCCAACGGGCATCGCCGTATAGTGTTTGGCATTGTCGGGGGTCGTTACATGTTCAAAAGTTGAGGAGGAGGGCATGCTGCCGAGGTACGATTTATATCGTACCCGCCGACCAGGCAGGAAGAAGGATGCAGAGAGGCAGGGCCAAAGAACGCGAATCATTTCCAGCTGCTTTTTTGGCCTGTTTGTACCATGCACCCGTGACGACAACAGCTCCACAAAAGACGATAGATTCGCAGTTGCAGATGTTGCTTCGGATGACAAGGAGCTGTATGCGGCGGACACTGTTGTTTTTTTTCGACTTGAAACGGGAGACCCGCACAGCTCCCCTTCGTTGGAGGCTTTATGCAGTGCTGCTCCTTGGCTTCAGCCACACGCGCTGGTGGTGGGAGGCCAGGCTGGCTGAAAGCGCATGCGTCATGGCCAGCACTGCTTCTTTGGCAAATTGTCCTTCTGAGCCCCCGTTGTAATCCTGGAAAGATACAGAGAAGATTGGTGCTGCTGAACAGAGTTGACACACACACACACACACTGACAGAGCCTAAGGGAAAAAAGCGCACCAAGCAAGCCACGATGTGTTAAGTTTTCTCGATGCCTTCATGTATACTGCCCTAAACCCATCAGGCGGCCGTCTTCACAAGGAAGTTCTTTCTAATCCTCTTGGAGGCCCCGGCTGTGGAGTTGAAAAGCGGTAAAGAGCTGTGCATCATTGTATTGTGTTGCGTCGGGAGTGCAAAGCTTTGATTATCTTCCAATTTCACGGTTTTCATCGTTTTGCGTGCATCCCCCTGTCTTTGATGTCTTTTGTCTACCTGACTTCGGTGTGATCCCAGCTATGAGCTTTCATGTCTGACGGGGCGCGAGTCAAAGAGTTTTCAGGTCTTCATCACCGGCTAATCCCGGACGACCCCAGATGGGTTAGGGTTGCCGCGGAGCTGGGGAGACGGCGTGAAGTGATGTCAGCTGTACCCGCAGACTCCAAAGATAGCCCGAAAGACACTTGCCTACCTAGTACCTCGTCTAGCATTAGTCTAGCATTGGAATCTGCGTGTTCAATTTCCAATGTGTGGGGCACCGACTGCCCCAGAACGTGACACCCAGCCGGTCCACTGCCCGAAATTTACGTGGATGTAAAGCGGCTGTCTTCAAGGCAATCCCGCTGCAAGAGCAGTTTCGATTTCTGCTCTTCACTTGTCTGGGACTCCTGGCCTTGCCCCTTGGCTTTGCACCTAGAGGCTGCGCTTTTTCTCGAGCATACGACGACGACGACTGCTAGTACCACTCCAACTACTATACTGCTACTACTCCTACTCCTACTA